AATAGCAGTGGAACATTGATACAGTGCTAGTAGATGAGCCCATCAGGTTGGAAGGCACTCAAAAGACAACTAGGCAAGAGCAGCTTCCTCAGAGTAGAGTCGACCTTAATGATGTGAATGGAGTCAAACTTTCAGGGCCTTCATTTGCTCATGTGGCACAACTCAAAATGAGAAGAAACAGCTGCAAACATCCATTAATAGTCAGAATGTGTAACGTACAAACTATGAATCTAGGAAATTTGGAAATCGTCAAAAATGGAATGTGTAAATGTCGACATCCTAGTCATTAGTGAGCTGAAGTGGACTACTATTGGCCATTTTGATTCGGACAGTCATGTGGTCTACTATGCTAGGAATGACAAATTGAAGAGGAATGGTGTTGCGTTACAAAGAACATTTCAATATCTATTCTGAAGTACAACGCTGTCAGTGGTAGGATAATATCCATATGCTTACAAGGAAGACCAGTTAATATGAATGTTATTCAAATTTAAGTACCAGCCACTAAGGCCAAAGATGAAAAAAATTAAAGATTTTTACCACCTTTTGCAGCCTGAAATTGATCAAACATGATCAGAATGAATTCATAAGGGAATACAAAAATTGCAAACACAGAAGAAGGATCAGTAGTTGGAAAATATGGCCTTGGTGATAGAAATGATGCCGGAGATTGCATGATAGAATTTTGCAAGACCAACGACTTACTTCCTTATTGCAAATACCTTTTTCCAACAACGTAAATGGTGACTATACACATGGACCTCACCAGATGGAATACACAGGAAACAAATTGACTATATCTGTTGGTAAGTGACGATGGAAAAACTCAATATCATCAGTCAAAACAAGGCCACGATCTGACTGTGGAATAGACGGTAAATTGTTCCTATGCAAGTTTAAGTTGAAATAGAAGAAAATTAGAACTAGGCCACGAGAGCCAAAGTACAACCTTGCGTATATCCCACCTGAATTTGGAGGCCATCTCAAGAATAGATTTAACACATTGAACACTACTGACCAAAGACCAGACAAGTTGTAGAAGACATCAAGGACACATACATGAGGAAAGCAAGAGGTCATTAAAAAGACAGGAAAGAAAAGACCAAAATGGATGTCAGAAGAGACTCTGAAACTGGCTCTTGAATGTAGAGTAGATAAAGCAAACGGCACAAATGATGAAGTAAAAGAGCTAAACAGAAGATTTCAAACGGCAGCTCGAGAAGACAAAATAAAGTATTAAAATGACATGTGCAAAGACCTGGAGTTAGAAAACCAAAAGGGAGGACCATGCTCAGCATTCCTTAAACTGAAAGAACTGATGAAAAAATTCAACCCTTGAGTTGTAATAATGAATGATTCTATGGGCAAAACACTGAATGACACAGGAAACATCAAAAGAAGATTAAAGGAGTACACAGAATCACAGTACCAAAAAGAATTGGTGGACATTCAGTCATTTCAGGAGGTAGCATATGATCAAGAACTAATGGTACTTAAGACAGAAGTCCAAGCTACACTGAAGACATTGGCAAAAAACAAGGCTCCAGGAATTGACAGATTACCAGTTGAGATGTTTCAACAAACAGATGAAGTGTTGGAAGAACTCACTCTTCTATGCCCCAAAACTTGGAAGACAGCTACATGGCCAACCCACTGGAAGAGATCCATATTTGTATCTCTTCCAAAGAAAGGTGATTTAACTGAATGCGGAAATTATCGAATAATCTCATTAATACCACATGCAAGTAAAATTTTGCGGAACACCATTCAACAGCAGTTGCAGCAGTACATCAGCAGGGAACTGCCAGAAATTCAAGCTGGATTCAGAAGGGGACATGGAACAAGGGATATCATTGCTGATATCCTGTCTGAAAACAGAAAATATCAGAAAGATGTTTATCTCTGTCTTATTGACTATGCAAAGGCATTCGACTCTGTGGATCATAACAAATTATGGATACATTGCGATGAATGGGAATTCCAGAACACTTAATCATACTCATGAGGAACCTGTACTTAGACCAAGAGGCAGACATTTGAACAGAACAAGGGGATACTGCATGGTTTAAAATCAGGAAAGGTGTGCATCAGTGTTTTATCCTTTCACCGTACTTATTCAATCTGTATGCCGAGCAGATAATCTGAGAAGCTGGACTATATCAAGAAGAACAGGACATCAGGCTTGGAGGAAGACTCATTAACAACCTGCAATAGGCAAATGACAAAACCTTGCTTACTGAAAGTGAAAAGGACTTGAAACCCTTACTGATGATCAGAGACTACAGCTGTCAGTGTGGATTACACAACATAAAGAAAAGAATAATCCTCACAAATGGACCAATAAACAACAAACAACATCTTGATAAACAGAGATAAGATTGTAGTTGTCAGGGATTTCATTTTACTTGGGTCCACAATCGACACCCATGGAAGCAGCAGTCAAGAAATCAAAGGATGCATTGCATTGGGCAAATCTGCTGCAAATGTCCTCTTTAAAATGTTAAAAAGCAAAGATGTCACTTTAAGAACTAAGGTGTGCCTGACCCAAGCCATGGTGTTTTCAGTAGCCTCATATGCATGTGAAAGCTGGACAGTGAATAAGGAAGGCCGAGGAAGAATTGTCACCTTTGAATTATGGTTTTGACGAAGAATATTGAAAATACTACGGACTGCCAAAAGAACGAACAAATCTGTCTTGGAAGAAGTCAGCCAGAATGCTCATTGGAAGCTAAGATTGTGAGATTTCACCTCACATACTTTGGCTGTGTTATCAAGAAGTACCAGTCCCTGGAGAAGGACATCGTGCTTGGTAAAGTAGAGGGTCAGCGAAAAAGAGGAAGACCCTCAACAAGATGGATTGACACACTGGCAGTAACAATGGGCTCCAGTATAAGAACCATCATGAGAATGGCACAGGACTGGACAGTGTTTCATTCTGTTGTACACCGGGTAGCTATGAGTCAGAACCAACTCAATGGCACCTAACAACAACAGGTCCATGGGAAGGCTTTCTCTCTGTGTCAGCTCTGGGGGAATGTCCTTTTCATCAGTCTTCCCCAGGTCTAGGAGCTTCTCAGTGCAAGGACCCCGCATCCTAAGGACATGATCTGATCCTGGCACTTCTTTCTTGTTGGCGTGATGTTCCCCTCTTCTCTGCTTGTTTCTCTCTTTTATATTTCAAAAGAGATTGACTAAAGATACAGCTTAATCCTGTAGATTGAGTCCTGCCTCATTAGCATAACTGCCTCTAATCCTGCCTCATTAACATCATCAAAAAAAGAACAAACAAACAGACTGCCTTTGAGTTGATTCCGACTCATAGCAACCCTATAGGACAAGGAGTGCCTGGTGGATTCTAACTGCCGATCTTTTGGTTAGCAGCAGTAGCTCTTAACCACTTCGCCACCAGGGTCTCCATTAACATCATAGAGGTTAGGATTTACAACACATAGGGTAATCACATTAGGTCACAGAATGTTGTTGGACAGTCACACAATACTGGGAATCATGGCCTATCCAAGCTGATACACATTTCTGCTGAACATGATTTAATCCATAACAGATGGTAGAAGAAAAATCTTCTGCAAGTCATGTAGGGACCAGGGAAACCCAGTTTCTCCTCGTGGCCCTAAGGTACATAGTTGTTGCTGTTAGATGCTGTCGAGTTGATTCTGGCTCATAGCAGCCCTACATAAAACAATAAAACATTGTCGGATAATGCGCCATCCTCATGATGGTTGTCGCTTGAACCCATTGTTACTGCCAGTATATCATTCCATCTTGTTGAGGGTCTTCCTCTGTTTTGTTGACCCTCTGCTTTACCAAACATGATGTCCTTCTCCAGGGACTTTGGTACCTCCTGATAACATGTCCAAAGTATGTGAGACGAAATCTCACCATCCTTGTTTCTAAGCAGCATTCTGGCTGTACTTTTTCCAAGACAGATTTGTTCTTTTTGCAGTCCGTGATATATTCAATATTCTTTGCCCACACTGTAATTGAAAGGCATCATTCTTCTTCTTTCTTCCTTATTCATTGTCCAGCTTTTGCATGCATATGAAGCTATTGAAAACACCATGGCTTGGTCCAGGCACACCTTAGTCCTTAAAGTGACGTCTTTGCCTTTCGGCACATTAAAGAGGTCTTTTGCAGCAGATTTGCCCAGTGCCATGTGTCTTTTGATTTTTTGACTGTTGCTTCCGTGAGTGTTGATTGTGGATCCAAGTAAAATGAAATCCTTGACAACTACAGTCTTTTCTCCATTTATCATGATGTTGCTTGTTGGTCCAGTTGTGAGGATATTTGTTTTCTTTATGTTAAGGTGTAATCCATATTGAAGACTGTAGTCTTTGATGTTCATCAGTAAGTGCTTCAAGATCTCTTCATTTTCAGCAAGCAAGGTTTTGTCATCTGCCTATTGCAGGTTGTTAATGAGTCGTCCTCCAAACCTGATGCGCCATTCTTCTTCATATAATCCAGCTTCTCGGATTGTTTTTTCAGCATATAGGTTAAATAAGTATGGTGAAAGGATACGACCCTGATGCATACCTTTCCTGATTTTAAAGCACACAGTATCCACTTGTGTTTGGACAGCTGCCGCTTGGTCTATGTACAGGATCCTCTGAAGCTCAATTAAGCATTCTGTAATTCCCATTCATCACAATGTATCCATAATTTGTTATGATTCACAGAGTCAGATGCCTTTGAATAAAACACAGGTAAACATCTTTTTGGTATTCACTGCTCTCAGCAAGATCCTTGTGACATGAGCAGTGATATCCCTCATTCCACATCTTCTGCATCTGGCTTGAATATCTGGCAGTTCTCTGTTGATGTACTGCTGCAACTGCTTTTGAATGATCCTCAGCAAAAATTTACTTGCATGTGATATTAATGGTATTGTTTTATAATTTATGCACTCTATTGGATCACCTTTCTTTGGAATGCACACAAATATGGATGTCTTCAGTCAGTTGTCCTGGTGGCTGTCTTCCAAATTTCTTGGCATAGATGAGTAAGCACTTCTAGCGCTACATCTTGAGATGAAACATCTCAGTTGGTATTCCGTCAATTCCTGGATCCTTGTTTTTCACCAATGCCTGCACTGCAGCTTGGACTTTTCCTTCAGTAGCATCAATTCATCATCATATGCTCTTGAAATGGCAAAAGTTGACCAGCTCTTTTTGGTACAGTGACTCTGTATTCCTTCCATCTAGAGTGTAAAGAGAAAAACAATAACAAAACACAGAAACATGTTGCAAGGATGTATTACACGCAGGGTAGAGCTCACTTTTCTTTAAAGCGAGGAGATAGAATTCAGAGAAAGATTGGAAAATACAATTTGCTTTTTATTGGTGAAGACAATGTCAGATACAATGGAATGATTTAGGTGGTGGAGAGTTATAGTGAGAGTGAATGGGCAAAATATACAAGGCATTCTGGGCATCGACCTTTAATAAAGGATAAAAGGCATTGTGGTCTTTAGTTTCAGCAGCTTTTTAAAAAAATTAATGTTGTAAAATTCACAAAACCTAAAATTAACTATTCTAAAGTGTATAATTAAATAGCATTTAGTATACTCACAATGTTGTGCAACCATGGCCTCTGTCTGGTTGTAAAACATTTTCCTCACCCCCAAAAGAGACCTTGTACCCATTAAGCAGCCATCCCCTACTACTCCCTGTCCCTGTTAGCTGTCTTTTTGAGGTTGGTGGACACTGGGAGTAATGGTAGGGAAACATGTCTCACTTGACTAGGGTGATGACTGACTTAGAAAACATTTCTTGGGATGAGTGATAGAGGATCTAAAAACTGGACTTAACGTATTTCTCTCAATTATATCATCTTTCTCCTAGTAACTGAGGTCTAAGCCCTGGTAGCCATTTTATTTACTTCTACACCTTATCACCCTAGTCGTATAAGTTTCTTCCTTCCTGTTTATTTCCACTGCTGTTACTTCAGCCTGGGTCCTGATTAGCTTATATCAGAACTTTCTTAACTAGTCTACCTGCCTGTAGTTTCTTTATCCTCTAATGATGGAATAATTCCATTTTAGATAATTAGATACTGTCAGTAGATATTTATAGCATGATGCTCAGAACCTTCTGCAGTCTATCCTTTCTAACAATTAATTTGCTGACCAAGTGAGATAATATAAGTGAAATATTGTACAAGTATCAAGTATTATTAGTTATTAGACTTCATCCTCTCCTCTTGCTGTCACCCCTACCAGCCTCCTGTTCCATTCAAACCAGTCTAGTCAGTATCTTGTTTACTTTGTGTTTCTTTTCCCTCCATAGCATCTTTGTTATAATAATTCCACTTTCACAGAATGCTGTTCTCTCTTTCTTTCCACTTATCTAATTCTTGCTTCCTCTTTGGGTCTTCGTTTATCTGAGGCACAGATACTCCTTTCTTTGAATCATGTGTGGTATTGTTTGTACCACTCATTTATCATATTCTGCCTTAAATTATTGTTTACTTTTTTTTTAACTATTTAAAAAATAAATAGTATTTTTCTTATTTTGGCAATTAGGTTGTAAAACCTTTGAGGATAAGGAAAATGTCATGCAGCACCTAGCTTGGTATGCTGAGTATAAATTATTGTAATGGTTTATGATATAATAGGGTACTGAGAGGGTCACCAGAAATCCTTTTAGGACATATTTAGCTGCCTTTTATCCCATACTCCCTTTTTTTGTGTGTGTTTGTCTTTTATTAGTACGTTGATTTTCAGCATAACATTTTAACTAAAAATAAAGATTTTTTGTTTTTGCGTTGATATTAACTTATACATCTCATTTCAGGTGAAGAGATTCAAAGCCAGTTAGATTATTTTTCGATACCTAATACATTGCACATGATTAAAATAAATAACAAATATAAGAAGTTACATAGAGACAGTGAAAAGGCTCTATTGGTCCCCCACCCACTCAGTTCCTTCCTACACCTCTTCCTATGTTGCACTGTTTTTACGTTGTTGTGTATCTTTCCAGAATTTCTTTATGCAAATACAAGGAAATACAAATATGTATTATTTTCACTTCCTTTTTAGACAAAGGTAGCACATATATGCTTTTTTGCATCTTATTTGAGGCACTATGTAATGGAAATTTTTTCATATCAGTACATAAAGAACTTCCTTTCTTCTTACCTTTTGCAAAGTATTCCATGGTGTGGATGCACTACAGTTTATTGTGCTAATCCTCTATTAGTCATCACATTAAGATTTGGCAGGATGAAGATAGCAACACATTCTTGTATAATTGTGCTTTTAATTACTTAAAAGAGCCATAACCAAGGTAATACCAATACAGGAGATAGCAGTGACCATCAAAGTTGTGTTTTTTTATGTACCTGGCATAGCAGATTTATTTAAGTGAAATCTAAGAAAGATCTTGTGTGTTGAATACCTACTAAATATTGTAGAGGTGTTTGTTCTCAGAAGTTACAACTTCTTAGAAATAAAAATGTTTGAATCTGGCACATCTCTAAAGTGTGAATTTCTGTTCTCTCTAGTGAAAAGAAACATACAAGTTTCATAGGTCATATTAAACGGAGGCTGCGTCATGAATTGCTTTGAAATTGGTTTGAGTTCAATCATGAGAAACTCCAATACATAGAATGTAGTGAATCCCCTACTGGATCCCAAGAAATTGAAACCTTCCAGTAAACCATATTGTTTTGAATGGCAAGGTCATAGTGGACAAAATGTGGAGAAGAGCAGAAGTTTTCAGTTTTGTGTTTGATTCTCCAACTGAGATCTACAGTTTAAGGTAGCCTGTGATTAGTCTGCAAACCAGTTTCTGCAAACTGCAAAAAAGAGAGAAACTAGAGTCAGGAAAGGAAGGCAGGATGCAAACAAGCAAGCAACTGAGACAAAGAACTTTCAAAGTGCATCCCGAAGATAATAATGGCTTTTGCCTGTTTCTGAAAATACACACATTAGCAAGTTCTTAAATATTCAAAACATCTACATTATAATATTGTTAACTAAATGAAAGTATTTTGATAGACTTTAGAATGATAGTCAGTGATCAGTGTTACTGCCACAGAATCTTGTTTCTTTAAAGTTAATTCTCAAGTAACCTGAGTACAGGCTGTCCTAGGTTAGAAATGTCCCACTTACAGACAACTGGTACTTTCCCTTTAATGTTATGCAAATTTGCCCTCACTTTGAAACGATTGAACCACCCCTACTCACAACAAATTCTTCATCACAATCACCTTCACTTGCTGCACTTGGCAGCTTTTAAATTATTGAAAAGCCTTCTAGCCTTTTCTTACACTAAAGTAAGGCTAAGTAAGGACTATGCACCTGTTCTGATTTACCTACAAATTCTTAACGACACACTTGGGAATGAATCTCCTTTGTAACCCAGGGACTGCTTGTATTAAATTAGCAGGGAACACAAGCCCTAATTATCTAGGTGAACTCAATTACTGTAAATAATTGTTAGTGAGATCAAATAAAAGACTTGAAATTAATTTAATGTTGCGTATTTGTACTGGAGAGTTAAATCCTGGAGAATCTTGTTTGGCTTAACTACTCATACTCTATCTTCTTATGTTTCTGATTTAAGTAATTTCATTTTTGCATATAAATGATTGCCACATTTTTGTGTCCAAGGGAGTATATTTCATTTACTTAATGCCTGTGAACCTGGATTCCATTTTACACCCAGCTGCTAACTTGCCCACCAAAAGCTATATAATTATGTGAAGATTTATGTATGTGTTTGTTTGGTCATTAAATAATACTCAGTTTTACCTTGTGATTAGTACTATAGTAAGATATAGAAGAGAAATACAGCTCCTGTACTGCCCTGTGACCTTACACAGATCGCTTAAGTCCAGGATGTCACATTCCAGACAACCCATTAGTATTATCAAAAATTACTTCAGCTTTCAGTTTGAAATTTCCCCACATCTGCAAAGATTATTATACATAGTATTATAAAACTTTCAAAGTAAAACTTTTCAAATGTACTATTTATAGCAGAATTTTTCAGTTGATTTTCTACCTCTATTGTTATATTCAGTATAGCCGCATGAAAAAGGCTATCTCCCATTACAGAGCCCATCTGCCTCTCTTTGCCTAATGCACTGTAGATACTTCTGTGTTCCTTTTGAGCACAGGTGAAAATCATTCCTGAGGAACCAAAATCGCTTTTACCTACTTAGAGTCTACTAAGCCAGCAAGTGAGGTGATCTTATTTCTCCTGGTAGTTTTGGGAATGCTTTTGCAGAATTACTTGTAATTCTTGATAATTGCTTTCTTTGACGAACGTACTCTTGCTTTATGCCACCCACTCACTAACTTAACAAGTATACAAAAAAAAAAAGGTATTTTTTATTCAGATGGATTTCCTGGTAACACTTTGATTTGATATATTCCTGGGAACTAAGGCTAGCTAAAAAAATTGAAATAGTTGCTTGTGATTTGATACACACTGATTGGTAATTTGGACTCTGGTTTTTAAAAAAGGAATAAGCCAAGCTAGTTGGCATTATCTAATGAAGGACATCATGCATGAAGAAAGCAAAAGATGGATGCCCTTTATCACCAGTCTTATTCAGCATTGTGCTGAAGGTCCTAGCCAGAGCAGTTAGGCTAGAAAAAGAAATAAAGGGCATCCAGATAGGTAGGGAAGAAGTCAAAGTGTCTATTTGCAGATGATATGATCTTATACACAGAAAACCCCAAAGAATCCACAAGAAAACCAATGGAAGATTTCAGCAGAGTATCAGGATATAAGATAAACTTACAAAACTCAGTTGGATTCCTCTACACCAACAAAGAGAACTTTGAAGAGGAAATCACCAAATCAGTACCATTTACAATACCTCACAAGAAGATAAAATGCTTAGGAATAAATCTAACCAAAGAAAACTACAAGACACTACTGCAAGAAACCAAAAGAGACCTAGCCAAGTGGAAAAACATACCTTGCTCATGGATAGGAAGACTCAACATTGTGAAAATGTCAATTCTGCCCAAAGCAATCTACAGATACAATGCAATCCCGATCCAAATTCCAACATCATTTTTTAATAAGATGGAGAAACTAATCAACTTCATATGGAAAGGGAAGAGACCCCAGATAAATAAAGCATTACTCAAGAAGAAGAACAAAGTGGGAGGCGTCACACTACCTGATTTTAGAACCTATTATACCGCCATGGTAGTCAAAACAGCCTGGTACTGGTACAACAACAGACACATAGACCAATGGAACAGAATTGAGAATCCAGACATAAATTCGTCCACCTATGAGCAGCTGATATTTGACAAAGGCCCAAAGTCCATTAATTGGGGAAAAGACAGTCTGTTTAACAAACAGCCCTGGCATAACTGATATCCATCTGCAAAAAACTGAAACAAGACCCATACCTCACACCATGCACGAAAACTAACTCAAAATGGATCAAAGACCTAAATATAAAATCTAAAATGGTAAACATGATGGAAGAATAAATAGGGACAAAACTAGGAGCCCTGATACATCGTATAAACAGAATATGAACCATAAGTAACCATGTACAAGCACCAGAAGAGAAACTAAATAACTGGGAGCCCCTAAAAATCAAACACGTATGCTTATCAAAAGACTTCACCAAAAGAGTCAAAAGACAACCTACAGACAGGGAAAAAATTTTTGGCTACGACAAGTCCAGTCAGTGTCTAATCTCTAAAATCTACAAGATACTGTAAAATATCAACAACAAAAAGACAAATAACCCAATTAAAAAATGGGCAAAGGATATGAAGAGGCACTTCACCAAAGAAGACATTCAGGCGGCTAACAGACGCATGAAGAAATGCTCACAATCATTAGCCATTAGAGAAATGCAGTTCAAAACTACAGTGAGATACCATCTCATCCCAAAAAAGCTAGCATTAATCCAAAACACACAAAATGTTGGAGAGGTTGTGGAGAGATTGGAACACTTATACACTGTTGGTAGGAATGTAAAATGGTATAACCACTTTGGAAATCGATTTGGGGCTTACTTAAAAAGCTAGAAATAGAAGTACCATACGATCCAGCAGTCCTGATCCGTGGAATATATCCTAGTGCAATAAGAGCTGTCACATGAATAGATATATGCACACCTACGTTCATTGCTACGTTCATAGCAAAAAGATGGAAACAACCTAGGTGCCGATCAGCAGACGGATGGATAAACAAATTATGGTATTTTCACACAATGGAATGCTATGCAACAGTAAAGAACAATGATGAATCCATGAAACATCTTGTAACATGGAGGAATCTGGAAGGGATTATGCTCAGTGAATTTAGTAAGTCATGAAAGGACAAAGATATAAGACCACTATTAAAAGAACTCAAGAGAAGGTTTAAACACAGAAGAAAATATTCTTTGATGGTTTCAAGTCGGGGGAGGGAGGGAGAGGGTTATTCACTAACTAGATAGTAGACAAGAATTATCTTAGGTGAAGGGAAGGACAGCACACAGTACAGGGAAAGTCAGCACAACTGGACTAAACCAAAGCTAAGAAGTCTCCTGAATACAACCAAACACTTAGAGGCACAGAGTAGCAGGGGCAGGGATCTGGGGATCATGCTTTCAGGGAACATCTAGGTCAATTGGCACAACAAAGTTTATTAAGAAAATGTTCTGCATCCTACTATGGTGAGTGGCGTCTGGGGTCTGAAAAGCTAGCGAGCAGCCATCTAAGATACATCAAGTGGTCCCAACCCACACGGAGTAAAGAAGAATGAAGAACACCAAAGTCACAAGGAAAGTATTAACCCAAGAGACAGAAAGGTCCACATAAACCAGAAACTCCATCAGCCTGAGACCAGAAGTAGTAGATGGTGTCTGACTACAACTAATGACTGTCCTGACAGGGAACACAACAGAGAGTCCCTGATGGAGCAGGAGAAAAGTGGGGTACAGAACTCAAATTCTAGTAAAAAGACCAGACTTAATGGTCTGACTGAGACTGGAGGAACCTCATAAAGCATGGCGCCTGGACTCTCTGCCAACCCAGAACTAAAACCATTCCTGAGGCCAACTATTCAGGCAACGATTAGACTGGACTTTGCGACATAAAATGATATTCGTGAAGAGTGTGCCTCTTAGCTCAAGTAGACACATAAGACTAAATGGGCACTTCATATCTGGAGGTGAGATGAGAAGGTAGAGATGGTCAGTAGCTGTTTGAATGGACGTGGGAAATCGGGTGAAGAGAAGGAGTGTGCTGTCACAGTACAGGGAGAGGAATTAGGGTCACGTAACAATGTATGTGTATGTTTTTGTATGAGAGACTAACTTGAATTGTAAACTTTCACTTAAAGTATAACAATAAAATAAAAAGAAAGCAAAAGGTCATTAAAAAGACAGGAAAGAGGAAGTGATGCCAAGATGGTGGCTTAGTCACAACACCATAATGTCTTCCTATATCAAAGATCCAAAAAACCAAGCAAAACAGAAGCATATAACAATCCAGGAACCCTGAACATCAAAAAAGAAGGTCTAAGGACTTAACCAAATACCGATTAGAAGGAATAAGGAAAGCAATGAAAAAGGAGTAACATGGAATGGCGGATCTCAGCCAGCTGTCCTGCCCCACTGAGGCTAACTTAGGACAAAGCCAGCAGCGACCTTGGGTGAAGAGAACAGCAAAGTAACTTCATGACTTTCTCAAAAAGGATAGAGAACCTCTATAGACACTCACAGAAATAAGCAGAGACAGGGAAGGTGCCAGATCCAGGAACAGAGATACTCAGAACTGGCAGCCCTTGACCTTAAGGGGTGAGTGTGAGAACGAGGTGGTGGACTCACGGAGTGTCAGCAGAAGCTCTCCCACCCATCCAGTCCCCAGGCAACCCTCCGTCTTCGCACTCGAGAGAGGACAGTTCCTGCTCACTGGTTGCAGCAGATGCAAGATGTCCTGGCACCTGCATATCCTACTGGAGGAACAGACTTCCCCATCCCATCCTTCTGATCCGAGGTGGTAGAGGGCCCATACACCAACTACTTATGCCTGATTGGGGGACCATAATACTAGCTTACCCTCTTCTGCTGACACCACCCAACCCCATCCAGTACTCCCTCTTCCCCACCCAACGAACGAGACTAGGCACACCCCCATGTGTGTGCCCACCCGCCACCTGTTCCCCTCACCAAGAGCCTGGTGGAGGACATCAGCAGCGGGACATTGAGAGACCTCACCCAAAGCTCCCTTCTCCTCCCCATCTGGCATGAGGTGGCACTTCTGTTTGTGCATCTGCCAGGCATCACTCCACCCTTAACCTACCCAGCAAGGGGCAGAGGCACTGTGACTGTGTACACATCCCACTGCAGCCCCTTTCCCCGCTCCTGGCTAACTGACGTAAAGCAGCATCACTGTGCTTGCATTTACCGGACACAAGTCCTTCCCTTAACCTACCCTGTGAGGGGCAGAGGAAACACAACTGCATGTGTGTGCCCCAGCAGCTCCTTCCTTCCTCCCCCTCACCTGACATGAGACGTTACCATTGTGCGAGCATTCGCCAGCAAGGATTCCACTCCTTATCCCACCCAGTGAGGGCCAGAGGAGCTACAACTATGTGCACAGTGCTCTTGAGGCCGTTTCCTCCTGCCCGTTACCCAGCATAGGGTGGAAGAAGAGTGAGTGTGTGCATACCCACCTGCTACACCTTCCTGCCGCTGTCTGCCAGTGACAGATGCAGCATGATGGAGCAAACATCCGCCTGCTGTCCCTTCCTCCCTCCCCTTGCCCAGGAGGAGGTGGCGGTAGAGCAACTGTGTGAATGTCCCCCTGCTGCCACCTGCACCACCCTCACCTCCTCTCCCCCACAACCAGCAAGAAGAGAAGAACATACCTCCACTCACCTACCACACCTAACCACATCGGCCACTCCATCTGCTTGGAGATCATCATTCCTTGCTTTTGAGCCACAAAACTGAAGACAGATGGAGGCCAAAGCAAAACCATCCCACCTTCAGCTGCCCTGCACAATTAGTAAACAGAGATCCTAGCTCCTGCACCCGTCCAAACACTGGTAGGGAGGGCTCCATCACAGTCGGTCCAACAACCAGAGCACCACTCCAGCCACAACTTCAAGGAATCACCAAAACAAAACAGACAAAAATGGGGCCCAGCAAGCAATTATACAAATAAAAAATATAGTAACGCTTTAATGCCCGGGAGACAACAGATGATAGCAGATTGCCTAAAGAAGCAAGACAAGATAGCCCCAGCAAGTGACCATAATAATGAACCAGAAAGCCTCCCTGAGGAAGAAAATGTAATGGAGTGTCCTCATAAGGAATTCAGAAGGCTTACAGAGTCCTGAAAAGATTCAGGGAAAACACAGAACTATGGAGAACACAGACAAAACCAAAGAATGCACAGATAAAACACAAGAAGAATTCAGAAGAACAAAACAACAAAATAAATGAACAATTGGAATGATACAGAAGAAACAACTAGAAATCTAGATGCTTAACAATAAAATTGCAGAAATTGACAACTCACTGGAAATTCGTAGGAGTAGAATTGAAACAGCAGAAAACAGGATCTGCAGAATAGAAGACCAGTCCCTTGACGCTAATCTGTTGGAGGAACAATAAAAAAAAAAAAAAAGGATGAAAAAATTCTAAGAGTTATGTAGGACACCATTAAGAGAAATAATTTAGGCATTATTGGAATCCCCGAAAGGAAGGAGTCAAAAGCACATAGAGAATTGTTGAAAATGTGTTGACAAAATACTTCCCTAATATCATGAAAGATGAGAAGATAACCATACAAGAAGCACAACGAACCCCATACAGGATAGATCCCAATAGAAGAACACTGAGACATATCATAATAAAATTTTCAAAACCAAAGAGAGAGAAAGAATCCTGAAAGCAGCTCGGGGAAAACGAAAGAACACCTACAAAGGGGCATCAGTAAGATTAAGTTCTGATTACTCAGTAGAAACCACGCAGGCAAGAAGGCAATGGGATAATATCTATAAAACATTGGGAAAAAAAAACACTGCCAACCAAGAATTATATATCCGCGAAAGCATCCATCGAATATGATTGGTTAAATTGGAACATTTCCAGATAAGCAGAAATTAAAGGAATGTGTAAAAAGCAGCTTTACAAGAAATATTACAAGAAGTCATGTGGACAGAAAACTAATAACACACCAGACAACAACTTGAGATTAAAGCACATGACAACATCAGGTGGATATCAACCCAGATAAAAAATTCTAAAAAATAAAATAAAGCTAAAAGATAGAAAACAGGGAACCAGAGACATTAATCTGTAATTGACGACCACTTCAAAACACAAAGAATCAAGCCTTTAGCTATAGAACTTCCATATGCAGAGGAATTCAAAATGATGTCAAAGAAATAAATTAGTGCTATAAATTTAGGCAGATAGAGGTAAATTTCAGGGTAACCACAAAGAAAAGCAACAAACCTACTCATCAAAATATTAAAAAAAAAAGCTCAACATGAAAAATTAAGAGGAATAAAAAAATCAACGCCAAACACACACATAAAAAAGCAAGAAAATGACAGCAGTAAAGTCATATCTGTCGATAATCACACTGAATATGCATGGTGTAAATGCACCAGTAAAGAGACGGAGAATGGCAGAATGGATTAAAAAACGACCCATCAGAGTGCTGTCTGCAAGAAACGCACCTTAGACAGAAAGATATGAATAAATTAAAATTTTTATCAGGCAGATAACAACCAAAAAAGTTCAGAAGTGGCAATATTAATCTCTGATAAAATAGATTTTAAAGCAAAATTCACTATAAAAGACAAGAATGGACATTATATAATGATTAAAGGGTCAATCCACCAAGAGGACATAACCACAATAAATATACACACAGTCAATGACAGCTCCAAAATACATGAAACAAACTAATAGCACTGAAAAGAGAAATAGGCACTTCCACAGTAATAGTATCCCATTGCTATCGAGTTGATTCTGACTCATAACAACCCTATAGGACAGAGTACAACCACCCCATAACGTTTCCCAGGAGCGGCTGATGGATTTGAACTGCTGACCTTTTTGGTTAGCAGCCGAGCACTCTAGGTGAATGACAGAACAACTAGAAAGAAACTCAGCAAAGACGCAGAAGATCCACCCAACACAACCAAATTGACCTCATAGACGTACAGAACGCATCGTCCAACTGCAGCAAAGTACACCTTCTCCAGTACTCATGGAACCTTCTCCAGAATAGACCACATTTTTGGCCACAAAGCAAGCCTCAACAAATGCAAAAACATCGAAATAATACAAAGCATCATCTCTGACCATAATACTGTAAAAATAGAAATCAATAACAGGAAGAGCAAGGGAAAAAAAAGTCTAATAAATGCAAGTTAAATAACACTGTGCTTAAAAACTACTGGTTAATAAAAGAAATCAAAGATCGAATTTAAAAATTCCTAGAATCAAATGAGAACAAAAACACAACATACCAAAACCTTTGGGACGCAGCAAAAGCAGTGCTCGGTGGTCAATTTTTAGCAATAAATGTACACATCAAAAGAGGAGAAAGAACAAAAATCAAAACATTAACCCTAAATTCAAACAGAAAAAGAGACACAGAAGCAGCCCGTAGTCTCCAGAAGAAACGAAATAATAAAAATTAGAGCAGAGATAAATGAAATGGAGAACAGAAAAACAGTAGAAATAATCAGCAAGACTAAAAACTGGTTTTTTGAAAGGATCAATAAAATTGACAAACCACTGGCCAAATTGACAAAGAAAAACAGGAGAAGATGCAAATAACCTGAATAAGAAATGAGATACATGACATTACAACAGAACCAACTGAAATAAAAAGAATCATAACAGAATACTATGAAAAATTGTACTGCAACAAATTTGAAAACTTAGAGGAAATGGACAGATCTCTAGTTATGTACCACCTGTCTAAACTAATACAAACTGAGGTAGCAAATTTGAACACACCCATAACAAAAGAAGAAATTGAAGGGGCCATAAACTCCCAACAAAAAAGAACCCTGGCCCAGACGGTTTCACTTGAGAATTTTATCAAACATTGAGAGAAGAGTTGACACCAATTCAGACTTTTCCAGAACATAGAAAAGCAAAGGATACTCTCAAATTCATTCTATGAAGCCAGCATAACCCTGATACCAAAGCCAGACAAAGACGTTGCTAAAAAAGAAAACTACAGACCAGTATCCCTCATGAATATACATGCAAAAATTCTCAACAACATCCTAGTGAATAGAACACAGCAGCATATCAAAAACATATTCCATCATGACCAAGTCGGATTCATACTAGGCACATAAGCTTGCTTCAATATTAGAAAATCAATCAACTTAATCCACAACATAAATAAAAGAAAAAGAATCACATGATCATCTCTATCGATGCAGAAAAGGCATTTGATAAAATCTAACACCCATTCCTGATAGAAACTCTCAGAAAAATAGGTATAGAAGGGAAATTCCTCAATATAATAAAGGGAATTTATACAAAACCAACAGCCAACATTATCCTCAATGGAGAGAATCTGAAAGCATTCCTCCCGAGAGCGGAAACCAGACAAGGATGCCCTTTATCACCACTCCTGTTCAACATTGTATTGGAAGTACTAATGACAGCAGTAAGGCAAGAAAAGGAAATAAAAGTTATCCACATTGGTAAGGAAGAAGTGAAACTATCCCTTTTGGTAAATGATATAATCTTATACATAGAAAATCCAAAAGACTCCACAAGAAAGTTATTGGAACTAATAGAAGCATTTGGCAAAGTGGCAGGATACAAGATTAACACAAAAATATCAGTTGGATTCCTCTACCTCAACAAAGAGAACTGTGAAAAGGAAATCAGGAAAACAATACCATTTATGATAGCCTCCAAAAGGTAAAATTCTTAGGAATGAATCTAGCCAGGGAAGTAAAAGGCTTATACAAACCAAACTACAAAACACTACTGCAAGAAACCAAGAGAAACCTGCATGAATGGAAAAATATACCATGCTCTTGGATAGAAGACAACATTGTGAAAATTTCAACACTACCCAAACCTATATATAGATACAATGCAATCCTGATCCCAATCCCAACAACATTCTTCACCAAGATTGAAAAACTAATCACTAACTTTATATGGAAGGGAAAGAGACCCTGAATAAGAAAAGCCTCTTATTATAAAAGAACTAAGATCTGATCTCAGAACCTACTGTACAGCTATGGTAGTCAAAACAGCCTGGTACTAGTACAACAATACATAGAGCAATGGAACAGAATTGAGAACCCAGATGTAAATCATCTTACCTAAGGATAGCTCATCTTTGACAAAGGACTAAAGGTTATGGAATGGGGAAGAGACAGTCTCTTTTACAAATGATGCTGGAAAAATTGGATATCTATCTGTAGAAAAATAAAGCAGGATCCATACTTCACACCATACACAAAAACTAACTCCAAATGGATCAAAAGACCTAAATATAAAACCTAAAACTGTAAAAATCATGGAGGAAAATTTAAGGACAATGCTAGGACCCTAATATATGGCATAGATTACCAATCATAACTAAAGATGCACACACAGAAGAAAATGAACTAGATAAATGGAACCTCCTAAAAATTAAACACTTATGCTCAACGAAGACTTCCCAGAAGATTAACAATAATATTTCCGAATTAGGCAACTCAATAGAAAGTCATAGGAGCAGAATTGAGGCAATGGAAGTCAGAATTAGTGAGATTGAAGATAAAGCACTTGACACCAGCTTATTTGAGGAAAAATCAGATAAAAGGATTTAAAAAAATGAAAAAACCCTAAGAATTATGTGGGATTCTATCAAGAGGAACATCCTCACAACTGGACCAATAAGCAACTGCATGATGAATGGAGAAAATATCAAAGTTGTCAAGGATTTCATTTAGGTGGATTCATGATCAGTGCCCATAGAAGCAGCAGTTAAGATATGAAACGACGTATTGCATTGGGAAAATCTGCCGCAAAAGACCTCACTTGTTTAAAGTGTTAAAAAGCAAAGATGTTACTTTGAGGGCTAGGGTGCGCCTGACCCAAGCCATGGTATTTGCAATCACGTCATATGCATTTGAAAGCTGGACAATAAATAAGACCACAAGAAGAATTGATGCCTTTGAATTATGATGATGGCAAAGAATATTGGACTGCCAGAAGAATTAACAAATCTGCCTTGGAAGAAGTACAGCCACAATGCTCTTAGAAGGGAGGATGGCAAGATTTCATCTTACTTACATTAGACATGTCAGGAGGAACCAGTCTGTGTAGAAAGACATCATGTTTGGTAAAGTAGAAGGTCATTTAAAAAGAGGAAGACTCTCAACAAGATGGATTGACACAGTGGCTGTAATATGGGCTCAAACATAGCAACAGTTGTGAGGATGACACAGCACCAGGCAGTGTTTTGTTCTGTTTTACATAATGTTGCTATGAGTAGGAACTGAATTGATGGCAGCTAACAACAACAATGATGGCACATCCATTTTGTTGAAACAGTGTGTTGATGTACAGTTGTGAGCTCTCTGTTGTGATTTGTCTTTACTATGTTTGATTGAAAGATTGGCCATTATTTACAGAGATGTTCAGAATTTAATGCATTTTTTTCATAAGCTTATTATCAGCAGTGTCATTTTCATGTGAAATCGGTTTACACATCATTGGAAGGACCATTCAAAAACTGCAAAATATATGTCCCTGCACAGTTTAATTTAGGAATAATGTATAGATTAGTTTCCTTACAGTCCTATATCTAACATTATAGTAGTGATCTGATAATGTAACAAAGTTAACTCTAACTGAAAACTAAGTTCTTTGATTTATAGCTAATCTGATTTTTGTGTTTTGTTTGTTACACATTTGCACTTGTTCAATAATCCTGAAGCACCTTGGATTCATAGTGACACCAGAATTGAAACAATGGAGTCTGAAATGTAGTAACTGCCAGTCAAGAGCCAAACCAGTAATCCATTTCAGCTGTCTCCTGTACTTTCTGATATTAATAAACTAACAGTAACAGTTGTTGTTAGTTGCCTTCGAGTCAGCACCGACTCATGGTGACCTTTTGTAGAATAGAATGGAAATTTTGCTCGATCCTGTGCCTTCTCCATGATCTTTGATATGTTTGAGTTCACTGTTGAGGTTATTGCAGTCTATCCCACTGAGGGTTTTCCTTGTTTTCACTGACCCTCTGCTTTTCCAAACATGATCCACTTTTCTAGCAGTTGGTCTTTCCTGGTGACGTGTCCAAAGTAAGCAAGACAAAGTCTCTTCATCCTTGCTTTTATTGGGTCTACCTTTATCTAAGCTTGATTTGTAGATATCTCCTTTATGTGAAATTAAGATAAATTACTTCTTTAAAAAATACCTAAAATACCTAAATGCTTCAATAACTATTTTTACCAAATGTGATATAATTACTATGTTGCTTAGGTCAAATACTCTAGGAAACAAGAAGCTACATATAGTTTTATAGTCTCCTTTTCATTTAACATTATATTAGGTACATTTTTCATGTCATTTAAGTGGTAATTTCTAATACTTTTCGTTAAGAATGTATACTAGTTCATTCTGTAACTATATCATAGTGTGTTAGTCATCTAGTGCTGCTATAACAGAAATACCACAAGTGGATGGCTTTTTTTTTTTTTTTTATTTTACTTCAGGTGAAGGCTTACAGAACGAACAGTTTCT